GTTTTCGCTGCCCCCCCCCCCCCCCCCCCCCCAGCTCTGCCATCGTCACTCCGGCTCCACCGCGGTCTTACAGAACCACACCTCCACTTCGGTTGCGGATTTCCGTAAACAGTGTTATCTGTTTTTATCTGTATTTTTGAAAAGGTCCTGTTCACACAGGATCTCTTAACGGTAATTTACCAGTAAAGACTGTATCTGTGAAAGGGGTTTTTGTGTTATGGCACCTTTTTCAGAGAGTTCTTTGACTTGTGTGATCCTTTGCTGATTTTTGTGATTTTCTTTTTAGTATTTTCAGAGAGATCGGAGCTATATATATATATTTAAATATATTATATATTTTTTTTTAACAGGAGAGAGAAGTCACAAATGAGAACATCTTGATTGAGAGATTAAATAGAGAGCGAATTGAGACTCTTGTTTACAATATTGCTTCTGCTGGTTATTCTCCTTAAAGAAAGACTCCAATAATCTCACATCTTAACAATAATAGCAAACTATGCTCAGATTTGCCAAGATACTAAAATCTGCATTAAAAAGTAAAAAATCTCAACATCAACTCGTTTTTTTTTTTCATCAAACTCTCCCAAGATCACAATCTAATCTGCTATCCACATTCAATTTGTTTTGCATGTCACTAATTTGTCATGTTTGTTTGTTCATGGGAACAGATTTGGAGAAATTTGGCATTACATCACTTGCTCATCAATGGATCCTCTGCAGTGAATGGGTGCCATCAGAATGAGAGTCCAAACAGTTGATAAAAGCATCAAAATAATCCAAGTGATCTACACAATCCACTCCAGTCCATCAATTAACATCTTGTGAAGTAAAAAGCTGTAAGTCTGTTTGTAATAAACAAATCCAGCATTAAGACGTTTTAACTTTAAACTGCCGCTTCTGGCTAAAATGAGTCCATAATCCAAATGAACACTTCCTCCAGTGAAAAAGTTCATCCCCTGTTGTCTCTCACATCAAAATCCACCAACATATTTGTTTATGAACTGTTCAGTCCTGTTTTTGCTTGTAAATGGTGCTTGATCTGTGCATATGTCTCTCCTGATTCAGATGAGATGACTTTTCCATTGGAGAAAACAATATGGATAAAGGAATATTTTAGCTTGATGCAACAGTTTGAAGTTAAAATCATCATAATGATGGATTTATTTCTTACAAACACACAACTTTTCGCTTCACAAGACGTTAATTGATGGACTGGAGTGGTGTGGATTACTTGTGGATTATTGTGATGTTTTTATCAGCTGTTTGGACTCTCATTCTGACGGCACCCATTCACTGCATTGGATCCATTGGTGAGCAACTGATGTAATCCTACATTTCTCATCATTTCGCAAAACTCTCTACATATTGGATGGCCTGAGGGTGAGTAAATTTTCAGCAAATTTTCATTTTTGTCTGAACTATACCTAGTTGTAACAGTACTAGTTAGCAGGGTTAGTAAGTCACTGTGATTCCCCTCAGCACCTACAGCTAGAGATAATTCTGGTAAAGTCTCAGTAGGGGTGGGGAGGAGAGAGCCACTAATTCTGTCTTTCCTAATCCTCCATTCTGCAAGTCTTCTACGCTCATTGACCGAGTCCAACACAACACATGCTAACAATTTTAGCTCACACTCACAACACCTGAATATGGGAGAGGGATTGTCAGCACAGTGGTAATCGTGATTTAAATATACATTCATAAACCTACGTTGACAACGGTAGAATGTAAGACAACCGGGACAGGACAGAAGTCAAGATGGGCGAAGCTCCAAAGGTACGTTTGTCACTTTCTCTGTGTTAGTATCACAACAGTACATTTGTGATCAGAAAACCCAGAGTAAACTAGTAATATCTGCTGTAATTTACACCAGATTACAAAAGGACCCAGTGATAGTTCTGGAAAAAGAATGCATTAACTTAATGGATATGCAAATGTAAATTCATTTGGATTCAGCGTCTTCCAAATAAACATAATCGTAGCATGTTCAATAATCTGGATAAATTCTGTACGCTTTAGGTTTGAGTTCTTCTAGTCTACATTCTGGGATGATTAGCATTGTCTTATATAAAGAAAGGGGCCTAAGCAATCAGAGATGGGTCACGTGGCCCATATAAATCTCATTACTGTAAGCCTTAACCACATGAATGGGGCCTGGCAGACCAGTTTTACCCTGAGAAGATTCGTCTGATAACAGTGCAATAGTCAACAATTTGACTGCTACTTTAAACTGCAGCTTTCTTAAATGCATAATTCATGTGCTAGAGTAAATTTGCTAAAGCAAAGTACCATTAGTTTAATCCGTTCACCCCGGAATGAGGCTTAATCTGTGCTTGAGAAAATACACCTGCATGCTAGTTTCCTTACTGCTTAGAAGTATAACAGTATTACTATTATTGCATTTTTAAGGCAATTTTGCATTTTATTTAAAAAAAAAAAGATTCATTCGCACTAACGTGGGTTAGGGATTTAAATAAACCAGTGTTGTTTTAGTATAATTGAGAGACTTGTATAGTTTTTATTAATATTATTAATTAGTTTTTTTTCAATTCTGTTTCATGTTTTAGCAAATTTGTTGTGTTTTGTCATTTTATTAATTTCTGCTCTGTTCATTTTTTTAATATGTCTACATAGCATTTATTAATTTGACTTCAGTTTTAGTTTTATTTATTTTAGTACATTAAACAAAAAATTAGAAAATGTGCCTTGATAACTAGCTGAAATAAAACAACTTGTTTTAAACAAGTTTATTTTTATATATATTTTATTTCAGTCAAATGTCAACATTTGAGTAATAACCCTAAAATATACTTCTAAATAAATAATTAATTAAAAAAATGTTAGTTTGTGGTTATAAATAAAATCTATTAAGAAGTGTTCCTAACAAGTAGCCTAACAACACCTCAAGTATCACTAAAAAAACATGGTGCTAGCAATGCAAAGATGATAGATGTAAACCTCGAATGCAATGTAATTTGCTTTGAATAAAAGTCAAATGCATAATGTGAACATAAGAATGTTCCGAAAGCATTAGGAACTGTTAATAGTAAAAAGTAATTAAAATAACAATTTAATCAGGTTCAAAACCTTTCCTGTTCTTGTAAACATTTTCACTATATAAACTCAGTATGCTTGAATAATGTAAGTGTTTGTGCTTTTTAGGGTTTGCTCTCTGTGATGCAGAAGCTGAAGGGATCCACAGAGCTGGAGCTCAGGATAGTTCTGTTGGGACTGGACAACGCTGGTAAAACCACCTTGCTCAAGTGTCTCGCCTCGGAGGATGTGAACACCATTACACCAACACAGGTGAGTAAATACACGCAAAACCAGCCCTGCTGAAAAGCCCTACATAAACCAGCAGGTTTAGGCTTGTGGAGACCTTCTGGTCCAGTTTGCAGCTTATCCTGACCAAGAACTGCTCACTTAGACAAGAAGAAACCATCTGACTGACATGACGTTTCAAATAGAACCTCATAAGTGATTGATTCGGAACACTTCTTAAAAATAAAGGTTCAAAAAGGTTTTTTTCTTTTTTTTTTGCAGCAATGCCATAGAAGAACTATCTTTGTTTCCCCCAAAGAACCTTTAAGTTCTTAAAATAACCTTTTTTTCTTAGTGTTATCATTATTTAGTTCATACTAAAGTAATATTTCATTTAGTACATGATTATTATGTAAGTGTTACCAAAACGCTTGTATCAAATTACACATTCTTTGATTTGCAAATTATACAAGTTATTTTGGGTGATGCTGACCAGTTAGA